CCCCCTCGCCTCTCGGCACGGCGCCTGGCACTCGCTGTCCGCGGCTTCGTCCCGACCTTCTCCCGGGGACGCCTCCCTCCCACCTGCGGCCCGCGCTCCCGGCCCCCTCCCCGTCCGCGGCCTCCGTCCCGGGGGCGCGGGGCGGTGCGGCCGGTCCCCGCTCGTCGGCGACACCGTCGGGGAGGGGCGGCGGAGCTCCTGCCCCGTAGCAGGATAAAGTTCACTTGAAAGTCCCGATATAAAATAGTAACATGAAAAGACAGCGAAGCGAGCTCGTTCTCCCTGATCGGTAGCCGGACGGAGGTGCGTCCACTCATGGAGGAAGGGAGAGGAAAAGTGTGCGTGTGCGTGTGCGCGCGCGCGCGTGTGTGCGTGTGTCTGTGCGCGCGTGTGTGCGTGTGCGAGATTCTAGGGGAGGCTGGTGAACTTCAGGAGAAAGAAAAGTTGCCGTGAGCCGATGGAAACTTTAGAAGCTGCTGATGAGTAAGCCGGGGGCTGCGTGATCTCACTCCCCTTCTCATAATTACTAGGTTAACGGTGTGGCTTGGGTCGGGATGGAATGGGATTTGTTTACCGGGCCGGCGTATTTTTAGCCTGTCGGCTCACGGGGCGGTGCGAGCGCTCTGAGTCTCTCCCTCCTCCCTCTCTCCCTCCCTCTCCGTCTTTCTTCCACTCTCTTTTTCGCTCTCTCCCTCTCTGTCTAGGTAGTCTGTCTGACGTAGGTGGCTCCTCTGGGCACGATACAAGAGAGAAACATTAAGTTAAAAGAAGCTGATTGGTGAAATTTTATGTGCGGGATTCTCCCCAAACTCTTCAGGGACTGTTTTCATGAAGGTAAAAGCTAGAACTAGCGGTGCTTTGACGTTCATTTTCCGTATCATTTTGTAAGTCCGTATGTAAAATGCTTTTTGGAAGAATCGAACGCTGGTCATTTTTCAGGCTCTGGCTTCTCATACTGTAGATGTAGGAGATCTTTGAGGAGGCTGGATCCCTTTGTCTTTCGGGACCTATTTGTAAGATGGGAAAGGACAAAGTAGACAGAAGAGGTGTTGGTAAGGCTAGTCCCGAAAGGTAGCTAATTCGAAATCTTTTAAAAACATTTTCTATATTATATAACTTAAAAAAATTTCCTTCCTGACGAACGAGATAGCATTCTTCACGGGGTGCAAGGACTTCAGCGGGTGGCTAGGGAGAATCAGACTTGTAATTAAACATTTGCTTTGCATAATTTACAAATGAATACATTATGGGCAAACAATTATACTCTTTGTCCTCATTGTTTTTTGAGCAGTTCTTGTTAAGGTTTAGTAGCCATCCTGCTGTGCTCGTCTATTGATATCTCGAAGGCTGAACCGAACTGTAAAATAAATGAAATTGATGTTGCTCATCTGGAGTCTGAATACCAGATCTGTTCTTGTTTCCACTGGCTCCTGGGCACATCTCAGAGTACCGCCCTGAGTAAGTGGCCAGTTACTATGTACTTAGGGATTGCAAATGAATACAAATATTAGCTCATGCTAGGAATGATTGAGAAGGTAAATATGCTGAAAAGATATTCCAAAACTGAAATCGGTTATTTTTCCATTTTTTTCCATTTTGGATCATCAGCACCTTTCTGCTGATAATTATCCATTAACATGAATAATTTAGAATCGAATAGATAGCCGCTATTGACATTACAGATCAAGCAGGAAGGAAAGATGCAAGGAAGATCATTCCCAAACTGCTACTATTTTTTTTGTTGTTGTTGTTTTTGCCTAATTTGACTTATTCCTTTTATTTAATGCTAAAGACCCCCTTGTGGGGAAAAAAAAAAAAGTAAACTTTGCCAAAAGGGCTATCCGTGGACTTGTATAAGGCTGGCTGACCTGTACTGAATGCCAACTGTTAGCTGGACTTGGTGGAGTTATCTCATCGATGACTTGGAAATTTCCCTGAACTTTTATTTCCTTAAATCTCTTCTTTTGGGATCCCTACTGAAAAAGATTTAATTTGGAGAGTAGAATCTGATCTTAAAACGATCACACACACCCTCCCGGAGTCTGTTGACTACCAATAATTGTTTCAATTTGTGAATTGGTTGGTGGCAATGTTAGTGATGGTGTCTGGTGAATTCTGTTTATTTTTGTAGTTAGCAACTTTCCCTAGTCGAACTACATATGTTATTCCTTGGGGGTGGAGGTGGGGATTGAAAGAGTTGACTAAACCCAGGAATACGTGTAGGGCAACCCAATGGCCCACCTCTGTTCCCAGTTCTCAGAAGGCTTTGCTTGGAATTTTGAGATTCAATGTGTGTAACCAAGTGAATTATGATGGAATAAGTCAGGACTGAAAATAAGTTTTCAGGTTGGTATGGGGGCACTGGATGCCACTTTATAAAGTTTTAGAGCTCCTGAATGTCTCAGGCACACTAGGGATATTGGCAGAGGACATCATCAGGGAGCATCCCTCCTCACCCCGAACATCCATCCCATCAAGGGAATACTCCCGAGACCATGTTTCAAAGTACGACTTCAGCAGCATCTTTCCTGTGGGAGTGGCAGACCGTGGAATCTTCTCCATAGCCCCTGATAAATTCAGAGAATTAAAATCTGTGTAACTGGAATGAAGTTGCAGAGGAGTTTTATCATGAACAATTCAGTTGATTTTTTAATATGATAGAAGAATGGAGTTGATTTTTTCTTTTTTCTTTTTTTTTTTTTTAGTAAGGAATCTTTGCCGAATAATGATTGAACCCTCCCGTGGATAAAGCAGTCTCTAAGTGACAGGCTTTGGGGAGATGTAAAAGATATAAAAGATGTAAAGACAGTGTTTTTGCCCTTGGAACGGGGTGGGTTTGGGGAAGGTGGTATGTAGGAAATGGGAAGGCGACTATTACAAGCTTTGACATTTAGGAAACAACATAGAAACAAAACCAAATTTAATGCCCTACAAATGGGCTAGAAAACTTAAAGTAACAAAGTAAGAATCAATGAGACGAATTAGGGAAGATTTCTGAATCAGTAAAATTTGAAATGGATTTGGGAGGCCATGGATTAGAGTCAGAGAGAGGCATGGGCTATAGAGTTAGAAGGAACTTGGTTCGAATCTTGGTTATGGTTTTTACTATGTGACCTTGGACAATTTTCTTCTCCATCCTTATCTATAAAATATGTGTGAGCATTTACTGAATGTTAGGAGTAAAAGAAACGATCTTCCAGGCAGAAAGTCTGGAACGTACAGTGCACACTGACGGTGTGAATGACTAAGTTGTATTTGTGGGGCCAGTGAGAGCGACTGGAGAGAATGTGGCCAAGTCATGGGTAGAGCGGGCCGAAGGGTGGAGGGCGCTCAGAGGCCAGACTGTTGGGTGTTGATGGAAGGGTCAATAGAGTCATTGTAGGCCCTCGAACAAAGGATGGATTTCATAAGAAGTATTGAGCCCTCTGGTCCAGGAACTCGGGGACAGGGAGTCAGGCAGGCACCAGTACATTGTGACTCTTCCGCATCTCTTCTGGACCATCCTGGCCTAAAGGGATCAGCCAACAGCCATTAGATTCCTTGTAGAAGTTTTTGTGTTCACACGCCTCACTCAGTATGCTGAGCTCTGCTTGTACCTGTCCCACATTGTATCGACCTGTGGGGGAGTCGCGAGGCTATGGCTGGATTCTCAACAGCTTCTGGTAAGGACAGTATCGTGTTTTAAGTGCATTTAACTTTAAGTTATCTCTGCTGTCGTAGGGAGCACCAGTATAGGTAATTCAGAACTTAAGAGAAATTTCTTGGTTTGAAAATGCATTATTTTTTAAACCAGATTTGTTTTTGTGTTTTGGGGATCATACGGACATTTAAATGAAGTTGGATTTCTAAGCCTGTATTATCTGATAGTGAAGAGCACACGGATGGCGAAAAACAGTCATCTGGGATTAAAGATTTTGTCTCAGAAGTCCGTAAAATTAAGGTGGCTTTTTCAAGACCTGGGCTTTGTAGAGGCTCTTCCAGATGTCAGCTCCACTAACAATCAGTCAAGAGTTTTCCTCCTGAAGTAAACTTGTTTGAAAATATGGCCACTAAAAAAAATAAAGGAATGGGGAGAAGTGTCCACATTTAAGAATAAACGAACAAAATCACACAGTTGTTCTTTCAACCTTGTTCTTTCAATTACTAGCCTTCCTGCTTTCCTTCATTCCTGCCTACCCCCCCTCCACTACCTTCATCATCATTACCAAACTATGTGCTTGTGATGTCAAGAGCACAGGATTGTTATTTACCTCTTGAGTCAGGAGATCGTAGTATCTGTGAGCTGGAAATCAGAGGTGGAAAACGCAGGAATCTTAATTTATACAGTATAGTTCAGGATTATTTTCAACTGTTTTTTAGGATTATGTCTTATCCCTTTATTTTCTCTAAGAAACAGTTTTGGGTAGGAGACATTACTTAAACTGTTATTTTTAGTGACCTGCTCTGAGTTTAGTTCTGTGCAGGGTGCTCTGGAGGATTAGATAAAATGACGATTTTATGCCCTTGAAGAGTTTACAGTCCAGCTGGGAATAAGACAGATTAGAAGGAATGAATACCTATTGAGCCTCTATTATGCCAAACAAGTAAAATTTTATAATGTGAAAGTATATTATCGATTGCATAGTACAGACCTTATACTTTAGGTATTTTGGGAGAAGAGAACTCAGGTAGTTATGAATGATGTCACAGAGGAAATGTAACTCATTCCAGATTTTAAAAAATAAATAATATTGCATTAGGTACAAGAGATGAAGAAAATAACAGAAAAAAGACATTTCATTTTGGATCTGAGAGCGATCCAGCAAAAGCCTGGACTAGGAATGTACTGGGGATGTTCTCGGGGCAGCGGGGAGGGTGACCCAAGTGGCCATGAATTGTAGTTTGGTTTGGAGCTATGTCTGTAGGGGGGTCTTAAACGCTAGGTTTATATGTTTGGATTTTAAATGACAGAAAATTGCGAACCACGGAATTCTTGATTAGATTAATAATATGGTGATAGTCATCCTTATGGGAAGAACAGAAACAAGGTTGGCTTAGAAGGAGGGGAGGTTGGCATCTGGGGTGTGGAGAGTGGAGTAAGGAGAAGGAAGAGTGAAAAAGAGATTACGGAAGAATCGAAATCACTGAGCCCTGGATGTGGTGGATGAAGGAGTGATTAATCAGGGATGACTATGACGTTTTAAACCTGAGTTCCTGGGACGTTGCCTGAGATAAAGTTGGGAAGTTTCCGTCATTTTTTAGGGGCATATGTTGAGTTCAGTCTGAGATGTGTTGGATTTAAAGTGACAAGGCAGTGTCTATTTGAGAGCTGTTCCAGTCGTTAGGTGTGAGCCCGACGCTGACCTGGAGGTGGGCGTACCGCTTAGGCAGGTGCTCGGCGCAGAAGTGGTAGCTGTAGCCAAGAGATCGAATAAGGTCTCGCAAGACTGAAGGTTATGGGAAGAACAGAAGGCCGAGGACGGTACTGATGGCCACTCACTGTTTTCGCTCTTCAGGCCATCATAACTGATTCTTCCTTCTCCTCTCCTGTTTTCTGTTCCTCCACTCCCTGCTCCATCAAATATCTCTTGAATGTGTCATCTGGTAAGCATTGTCTTAGGCTCTGAGGAAGCACATGATCCAGGCAGGGTCCCTGCTTACAGGAACTGATGGGTCTGGTGGGAGGAGACGGATGTGTCATCTGGGTGGCGTGAAGCGTGGTAGATGCTGCGACAGAAGTATGTAGCGAGGGAAAGGGGGGGCCTCCGGGTCAGCTCTGCCTTGGGCATGCAGAGATTGGAAAGCGCCTCCCAGAGGATATGGCACTGGAGCTGAGTCTTGCAAGAAGAGTTCAAGGCGTACCCCACAAATGACGGGGAGAAGTACGCGCCAGGCCGAGAAAGCGGCGTGAACAAAAACTTAATGGAAGGAAACAGCCCGACTTCTTCAGGTAACTTGGAGGTGATTCTCGTGGCTGGAGGACAGGGTCGGAGGCAGGCACGAGGCTGGGGAGGCAGGTAAGGCCGATCACGGACAGCCTTATCTTGTGCTGGAGTAAACAGTGAACCACATGGGGTGATAAAGTAAATTTCATGTTCTAGAAAGATGATGTTGTCGGTGGTGTCTAGGGCAGATTGGAAAGGAACAAAGCGAAGGCTTTTGAAATAACTGTATTATGCTTAGCCAGTAACACAGTTGTCATTGAGGGTTCATGTTTGTAGAATCGTGGGATCAAAGAACTAGGGGGACCGTTAAGCTTTCTTGGTCTCCCTCGTTCATTTTCAAACGGAAAGCCTGAGATTTGCTCAGGATCACAGAAGTGGTCCAGCGATGACTTGGTCTGGAATTCAGTCTTCGGTGCCTGTGATGTGGTAGGTGATGAATAACCTCTAGTTCATCTCTCCGATTCCCTCAGTGTTCGTTACATTCGAGACAGAGGGATTTCTGTCCTTCTCTTGTCCTTTTGACCCGTCCAGCGTGAGCGGTGGCATCTTCTCAGGGCCGACGGGGGAAGATCTGCCCTGAGAGGACCTTGGGCAATAGGGACGTTTGACCTTAGGCAGTTGGGTGCCCCGGAGTGGAGTGGAGAGGATGTTAGGTTATTCAGCTGTCATGACTCAGATGTAGAAAATGTCAAGGTATTTGTTTTGAGTGTACAGACGTCTTTCTCTCGTCTGCTAAGTTGCCTTCAAATTGTTTTCTTTTAAATTTAGTTTTAAATTGTGCCAACGAATCTTTGGTAAATAGGCTGTAAATAAATTGGGCACTGACAAAAAGGATATCTAATAAAACAAGATATGTCATTATCTTTGGATTCAAAATCTATGTGTTTTTAATTACATCGGATTTTTGTGAAGGAAAATTGTTTGGGTTTAAAGTGCTAAGTGAGTTTGGATTTTGTGTTTTAGTCATTTTTCGCTGGAGAAGAACAGAAAAACAGGCTATAAGACATCTCAGCGGTCCCTAGATTCCCCTGGGGAAAGTTGGGACACGAGGGCATGTAGAAGGACGGGTACCTTCCATTGATAAGTTTTCCTCAAAACTCGAGTTGTGATTTCTCTCCCCTTTCCTCTGGGCCCTGTCAACATCTTCCCAGCGAAGGGCCTTGGCTTGAAAACTGTCCACTTCAGCAGAGCTGCCAATTCTTAATTCTTTCCCAAGTGGGCAAGGGTACATTTTGTTTTTGTTTGTGAGCTCCTCACAGTGAGTCTTTATCTGAATTCCTATGTAGCTGGTAGTTTCCTTGGCTTCGTTTTGGGGGAGATAGATGACTTGGTTACACCGGTATTTATGTTATGTGGGAAGGTGGCTCTCTTTCCCCGCAGATATCTGATTTAGCATGGCCGTATCAGCTTCCTTCCTGTCTGTTTGTCACCCCGCCCCATCCTCCTGTGGACGCTTTTGGAGTATAACTTGTGAGGGAGATGAAGGAACCATCCCGCCCCTGACCGTTATTTTTATGTTAATGACTCCACTGTTCTTCCAGTCACCTGGCCCTTTCTTAATGTAAACATTTTGTATAATGAGAAACTTTAAATATTTAGAAAAGTTCAGGGAAAGAAACCCAAATACAATCTTGTGCCCACAGCCAGAATTTAATGGATATTAGCATTTTGTCATATTCGTTTTAGATATCTTGCTCACTTTACGATGTAAAATGTTAGGTCTAGCTAAAGCCCTACTCAGCATCATTTCCTCCCTCTTCTTTCTTGGGAAATGGCTTCTGGCCTGATTTGGTGTGTATCATTCCATTTCATGTTATATGCTTTTAAAAAAATACACACACACACATGTATACACAACATGTAACTTTGTTTTCAAATCTTACATACATAGAATCATACCATATGCATCCTTTTACAGTTTTTTCTCCCAACACTGTTTTTCATATGTGTCTGCATGGAGATCTAGTTCATTTAATCATCTCATTTTTCAGCCTGTTTTCCTCCACTGCCGTCCCCACTTGCCTGTTAAAAAAAGCCTACCCATCAAAGTCCTAGTTTATACCATATCTTCCATGAAAACTTTCTTGATTCTTTTTTCTCCCCACAGGTATGATCTTTCCCGCTTCTGAATCCTGTCTTTATTGGTACTTGTATATTCTTGTATTTTAGTTTATTTGCGCCCATGACATGCCTCTTCCAGTACACCGTAAGCTCCTTGAAGGTGGATAGTCTCTTTTATCTTTGTGTCTCTTGCGGGGCTTGCCACAGTAACTCACACGTAATGAGCGTTTAGTAACTATTAGTGACTAAATGGTTACTTAATGAATAAAAAGATACAGTCTTTTGCATTGGTGAACTGTTAGTTTAATTACGAGCCTGATAGTGGCCCCAGGAAAAATAAAGCTCATAAGGAAACCGTCAGCCTGAACATTGTATAAAAATGCACGTAAGTGGCGAGAGCAGTGAGGACCAACTTCCTGCCGGAGATGAGAGCAGCAGACGTTCCTGAGACGCAAAGGGGATTGATCGGCGGTGTCATCCCGCTGAGGAAACTCCTGGGAGTCAGTCCTGATGGCCTTTGAGTCAGTGTGCTCCTGTGACTAGACTCATTTCCCTGGCTAGCAAATTCTGCTACTGTCATCAAGGTCTTGGCACCTTCTTCGGAGATGGGAGGTTGGTGTTGAGAAAAAGCAGCCCATCTGCTCACTTGGTAAACACCGCTGAGAACCAGGAATTCTCTGGCCTAATACACACATACCTACACACACATATACTATGTACATATATTTTTAATGACATCTTTCTTTTTTTCTTATTTTTTTTCTTTTTTAATGAGACCAGATTGTATCTCAGAATATTTTGAAGCTTTTACTTTTGGAACATATAGTCCCAATATGTTTTGGCCTCACAGAAGCTCATCCCTCCCCCTCCAAGAAGAAATAGAGTTGAACAGTCTGAAATTGTAATTTTATAGGTAGAAGTAGTCAAATATTGGCAATATCGTGTGGGCGAACCTAATACATCAGGTCTCGATTTCTGCTTGGGGTTCTGAAGGGCATCATCGTGGACCGTTTTGAAGTGGATAGTCTCAATCCATTTGTCATTCAAAAATGCATTTCTGAACTTCAATTTGTAACTGATTTTTTGTTATCTTTATTCAAAGTCTTGATAAAATGTTTTTCTTTCTTAGTATACATTTAATATATTCGGAAAGATTGTGAAGGCAGGTGTGAGCATTGGAGGCCAGAATAGGCCCTGAGAAGTAAGCCTGGAATGAAAACTTTTGTCAATAGTGACATAGAATTGATCGAGTTGGCTTTAATGAGCTTACTTTTCCTTCGTGTAAATGACTCTGCCCACCCTTCCTGCCACCCTCGTGTCTACTGTCTTAGTCTTGATCACGGAGATCTGGTGGAGGTGGAGTGGGGGACAATGGAAGAGAAAATGGCCCGTGGCCCTTGACTTTATTTGGAGATTTAACAGAGGACAGGGCAAGACCCCCAGTTCCTGGCACCAGACTTAACCTCGTGATTTCCCAAACAGTTCTAAGAGTAAGGTGTAGGGAGATGTAGAAGTCAGGGAAAGGGGCAAAGACACAGAGCAGATAGCAGGAGTTAGCAGGTGTCATGGACTAGGACCAAAGAATGGGAATGGAAAAAGGGAGATAGCATAAACATTTAAAGAGGTTCTGTTTCCTCTCATCCTTCAAAACCTGGCTTAGAATTTCCTATAAACCTGTTACCTTAGCCATTATCAGAGTTGTATTCTGGCCACATACCTACTTGGAAAACATCATATAAAGAATTCCACTTGAAAGTATCAGTTATGTGTTTGAAAACGGTTCTTTGAAAAGTTAGGATCATTTTAAATGAATTGGTCTACTAATGCCTTTCGGATCATTACTAACTGACAGGAAAAGGATTCCTTCGAGGCGCTGGTGTTTGCAAGCTTTGCTGTTAGTGTGGAGATAATCCATGTGAGGGACTGAGGCAAGATGCTGCGAAAATGTAACGCTGCTGACAAAAAAAAAAAATAGGTAGCAAGTTCTCATCTGTTTTAAAAACTTACCTGCTCTTATGAGTTGCTTTGTGAGCATTTACTTTTGTCTTTATTGAACCGGGAGCTCACCTGGCTGAGTGTTAGACTTTTCATTTTCTGAAAATTTCCATCAGTCCTAAGGACAAAATTACCTGATGGAAATTGGTCCTTGTTTTCTAACCAGGGCTAGAGGCTTCCATACTTCACAGAAATACCATATATGTGACATATATATATATATATATATGTATATCAAGAAATGTGAGAAACAAATGCGGGCTATGTAGCAGTATAGGTATCATCATATATCCTTGTAGAACCGAAAGGAGATTTACATATTGTTATCATTTTCTAGGTGAAAATGAGGCCCAGAAAATTTAAAGGACTCGTCCAAGATACCAGTTACCATCAACAATGAACATTTTATTGATACCTGCCTTCTGAAAAGTTAGGCCTCAGGTATAGAAAGAGTTAAATTTATCAAGAATGTAATAATTAGCAGTGAAGAGCACCCACTAAAAGGTAAATGGTAACACAAAGCTGTGGGTTCTCAGTGTCAAGGGGGAGGAGTCGGTTATATAGGGTGACATGGAAGTTTAGAGGGAGTAGGTAGGGGGGTGTCACCCCAGGATAATCTGGTTCTTAGAGAAGAGAGAACACCGAGGAAGTATAGTGGGAAATGTTCAAGGCAGGGGAACAGGGAGCTGAGGCCGCCTTGTTTTGGGGGTGAATAGGTAGATGATTTGTTGCATAGCGTTTCTCCCTGGGGAGCAGGGAGGCTGACGAGGGCCTCGGGGCTGGGACAGTGGAGTGTGCTCTGTCCTTACGGTGAGAAATCCCCGAGCAGGGAATTTTGCATGTAAATTAGTATTGTAGGAAAGTTGATTCAGCGTGCGGTGTACAGTGGAAGAAAGGAGACCGGTTTTAGGGCTGTTGACATAGTCCTGGGAAAGGAGTCTCCACAGGGGCGACGTTAATGGAGAAACGGGAGAGATTTGAGCGATTTAAAGAAAAATAGAATTTGGTAACTTTCATGGGAAGGGGGCTAGATAAGACCAACATAGATGTTTTCAGTCTGGGGGCTGGCAGCGGAGGAGCTGGGTCTGGCGGTTTTCCGATGCATCTGCTCCCCTGAGGCGGACCCTGGTGGGAACCTTTGTAGAGCTCGGAGTCTGCCCAGTGTTCTCAGTCGATACTGAGCACGGAGAGGTTCAGGGGCCAGTTTATGTTTGCCTGCCCCAGAGGTAGTGGCTCTGTGTAGAGCCCATTCCTCGGGCTGTTCTGTGCTCTTTCTGCTCTGTCTCATTGCCTGAGGTCCAGC